CCAAATGGTACTTGGGAGTTCACAGATTTGCCAGTAGGAAACAAACCGGTTGGATGCCGATGGGTATATACCATTAAGTACCAGCCAGATGGATCAGTAGAAAGATTAAAGGCCTGACTGGTGGCAAAGGGATAAACACACATATTTGGTATTGATTATTTTGTGACATTTGCTCCTGTGGCCAACCTAATTCAGCTAGGATACTAATATCTGTGGCAGCAACTAAGGGGTGGTTATTATGGCAACTTGATGTTAAGAATGCCTTCCTACATGGGGATTTACAAGAAGAAGTCTGCATGGGGCAACCGTCAGGGTTTGTTGTTCAAGGGGAGTCAAACACGGTATGTAGGTTAAAGAAAGCAGTTTACGGCCTAAAACAGTCACCACGCATATGGTTTGAGAAAATTTAGCTAACTTGTTATGGCCTATGGGTTTCATCAGAACCACGTGGATCATTCAGTATTTTTTTGAAACCAAGCAGTTGGAACTATTATCTTGGTTGTTTGTGTTGATGATATTATCATTACAAGCAGTGATCACGAAGGAATTAAGAAGTTGAAGAATTATCTGCAGCAGTATGTTCAGACAAAAGACTTGGGGCAACTGAGGTCTTTTCTTGGGATTAAACTAGCTCGGCTACAATATGTAGCAGTCTATCCCAAAGGACATATGTGATTGATCTACTAACAGAGACAAGGAAGTTAGGGGCTGAACTAGTTGATACTCCCATAGATCCAAGTTCCAAACTTTCAATCGATCAAACAGACTTACTACAAGATCATAGCAAGATATAGAATGCTTGTGAGTAAACTTATCTACTTGACAATCATTAGACTAGATATAGCATTTGTTGTTGAATGTAGTAAGTCAGTTTATGCATTCTCCCAGAACACCACATTGGGAAGCAGTAAGAAGAATTTTAAGATACCTGAAGGGAGCCCCAGGCTGAGGAATCATATACAAGAAGAATTGCTACTTTGACATCGAAAGTTATTATGATGCCAATTGGGCAGGATCACCTTCAAATAGAAGTTCTACTACAGGGCTACTGCACTTTTGTAGGAGCAAATTTGCTGATTTCAAGAAGAAAGAAAAAGAATGTGGCGACCAGATCTAGTGCAAAGGCCAAGTATAGAGTCATGAATCATATTACATGGGAGCTAATGTGGCTGAAAACCTTGGTGCAAGAAATGGGTTTTTCAATTACTAAACAAATGAAGGTGTTTTATATGATAATTAGGCAACCATTCATATTGCAAGCAATCTAGTTTTCATGAAAGAACAAAACATATTGAAGTAGATTGCCACTTCATTCGTGAGAGTGACCAGCAAGCAAATAAGAACGCATATGTGAAGTCATCAGATCAGTTGGCTAACATATTCTCTAAGGCACTTACTCATAATCAGACTCAACAGATTTGTTCCAAGCTGGGCATGGGTGACATCTATGCTCCAACTTGAGTGGGATTGTTAAAGAATAACTTGTTTTGTTTATTGGGGCATTTCTGCCATTTCTATATAGTTTACGATGCTTATTTTTATTAAGGTTATTTTTGTCCTTTGTAAATCCTAAACAAACATTATTAATAAAAATATTAGTGGGGCATGGGGTGACCGAACCTCATGTTACTCTTCTCTGTTTCTTTTCCTCTTCTTTTCTCTCTCTCTCTAGTTTTGAAACTTTACTATTTAAGACATTGTTCACAAGTACTATTCACAATCTGGTTTTCTACCTTGGCTTTGTATTCTTTGAAACAGTATAGGGCTTCTAACTTTTCTCATAGCAGGTATACATGACTGATATAGGAGTGGTCATCAATGAAAGTGATAAAGTACCTCTTACGACCCTTGGTGGGTATATTCATAGGTCCATCAATATCATTATGGACAGCCTCTAAAATGTCAATAGTTCTCTGAGCTTTCACAAAGAATTTCTTCACCAACTTTCCTTGAGCACATGACTCACAAACTCTAGTTAAGTTTCATTCAAGTATTTCAATAGTCCTTCTCTCTTTAATCTCTTCGTTCTCTTATAATTTATGTTCCTCAGACTCGTGCCATATGAATGCATTACCGTCATCGTTGTAATACGAGACAAAAAAAATAGAGTTGCTTATTGTGATTGAAAAGAAACTCTGTAAAACAACCAATCATGACCACTTCTATCCCAAATATGGGATCTCATTCTCCATTACATTACTTCCTCAGTTCCATTACCATTCATTATAATTTGGGAGAAGATATTTCAGGCAATCTCACTCACAATTTTCAATTTTTGGGTAGATTGTGGTCGTTCTTCCAATCATTTGCCTCATAATTATTTGAATAGAAGTAATGAACAAAAACAGATCCAACACAAACCCAGGATGCATACCCAGAATTAAAATAAAATGTAACATTTCTTGGAGAAATTCAAGGTAATTCCGGGTCAGACACATTTGCTAATTAGCCAGGTTCAAATGTGCTAATTAAAAAACTAGCTCCACTATCCCCCAAGATAAGAAAAAACATAATATTGGACCCCAAGAAATTACGTGAAATATTCAAATCCAAGTCGTTTGAGGATAGTCCCATAGTTACCCCAATCTCTCACAAAAGGTCACGATTCCGATTCAGAGCCCTGATTCAATGGTTCCAACTAGGAATCTTCACTAAACCCAATTCCGTGAAGTCTAGAATCTTGATTCTTTATTTTAAGAATATCGATCCCAACACTTACAGAATCTCCAATATTTACTAATTCTCGATTCCGCAACTAGTGAATCTTGATTTTACAAATTTTGAAACTAATTTCTACATTTACCAAAATCCTACCACTACCACTCTCCTCCCCCCCCCCCCCTTTTATTTTTCTTTTTGCTTTTTTTTGAGAACTGATATTTAGAAGTTTTCAAGGTATTTTTCTGAGAACTATTTTTAGAAGTTTCCAAGGTATCACACTACTCAAACAGCCGAGTGAGACACTCAATCTCAAGCTACAAGGTGTAGTCATCTTTTTTTGCATGAAATAATTAGTGACCAATAGAAACCAAAGTCGTGGTCCACGTTCTGTACTTAATTCTTTGAGTATGCATTGTATTCGATCCAATTGAGAGATTGCAACTCCAAGATGATAGAAATTATATAATACAAATAATGTAATGTGCAGGTATGGCATGTCGGTCAATGAATGGCATTAAGGCATGTATTGTTTCCCTTTGACTTTCCTCATGATTCCAAGGATGTCGGAATCTCAATTCTATAGATGAAAGAATCTTGATTCCATTAATTGTCGATTCCAACTAGGTCGAAAACTCGATTCCAACAGGCTAAGAATCACGATTTCATCCAATGTTCAATAAGTCGGCGGCGGCCGCCTAGGCGGGCACCCAGAACCAACAACAACTGGTGATTTTTGTTTTGTTTAAATTTGGATCAACTTAAAACTTAACACCGAAGCCTGAAAATTAGACAAAAAAAACAAGGTCAAACTTGAAAAATTAGATATGGTAATCTAAAAATTACCAATAGGAAGTGACACTGACCCTTTAATATATTGGCTTCTTATTAAGCCGAAAAATAAATCTAGGTAAAACATACACACCAAAATTGCAATGATATAACACAAAATCGAAAAAAGAATATCACACATGCAATTACTTAATAAGCATTCAGAAAATATTAAACTAACTAGTAAAATAATTATGCTTTATGAATCATACACCGAGAAAACACATTACACACAAAATTATTTAATAAGCAATTAAGAATTAAACAATTATTAAACTAATAAAATAATAATCCAAAAATAACATATCAAATATATATCACAAGTATCAAAGAAAAAATACAAATAGCAAATAATAATATCATTAGACTTTAAGGGAAAAAAATATAAAACCTAATGAAAACTATTGAAATATACCAACCTTCTTGAAGTGGACTCCATTACGGGCCAAACCAAAATGTTTGGGATCCCAAATCTCCTCTTTTACAACCCCTATAAGCCTCAAAAAGATTAGGGTTGAATATCCTTTAATATCGTGACCATTCAAGGATTTTGAAAAAAAAATCGATCTCTCAAAACATCTCCAAATCTAATTTTTTTTCAAGTCGTTTCTCACTCTAAAATTCACTAAAATTGTTTTTGGGGGCAAGAATGGCCCCCCAAACCCTTATTCCCCCTTTAAGGGGACAAAATGACTTTTTTTGCCCCCTCCCAAAATTCTTTTCCGCCAAACTCTTGCAAATCGCCTAGGCGGGAGCCTTTTTCCGCCTTTTCGACCTCCTAGGCAGGCGCCTAGTTTTGGCACCTAATAGTGACCACCTTAAGAACACCCGGGCGTTTTCTCGAAAAATCCGCCTAAGCGGCTGCCTAGGCAATCGGGCGGACGACTTTTTGAACATCGGTTCCATCTATGTAGGGATCTCGATTCTATTGTGGTTGAATCTATATTCTTAAAAATATGAATCTTGGGCCACACGATTCCTCTTGTATGGACGTCGATTCTGAAAATAGGAATCTTCCAGCCGGCGGGGATTCCACGCTTCCGATTCCTAAACAGATTCGGTTTCCAAATCACTCCGGGTAACTATGAATAGGCCATTAAAATACGGACACGGTTTCTATGCGGCTAGCCCACATATGGTAGAAATGTGAGCTTGGCAATTAATATATTTTTTAAGTATAATTTGATTCTAATTTTTAGAGAATATATAATCTTCAACATGAAGATCATGAATGTGAAAAAATAAAAAATTGGAAAACTAGAAATAATAATTATATGAAGAAAACATTTATACCGTTAGTTACACTTGTTCTTAGATGGACCACATATTTGTAGAAATGCGGTCCAGCCCGCATGAAACAATTTTCCTTAAAATAACCGATTTATTGAAGAATCAAAGAAATAATTTTTTTTTTGGACAAGTTAGCAAATAAGTCCAATAAATTATCATAAATTGCTAAATAATCAAGAAGGTTAACATCAATTAGATTAAAGCTGAATAAATTGGCAAACCTTCTTGCACTAATATCCTGTTCGCACATACACAAGTTTGGCCACTGTTACGAAATTTAGCTGCAATCTGGAATATCAAGAACGCAAATTTCAATTTGGGATAAGGTTAAAAGCTCCTTATACACCAGAAAAGATAAACATGAAAACATAATAACAGGAAAGCACAAAGCGAAAGCTCATGTATAGTATTTGCATCAATATCTGGCTTAAGGGAAAAACTCAAATGGATTGCAAAACATATATAAGCAAAATGTCTCGTTTCTTTTGTGCATTCTCATGACCTCAGAGTAAGGAAATGCACATAATGACAAGATAAGAAAGTCACTAACAAGTCCAACACAAGACAAGCCCATTCTCAGAGAACATGTAATACTCGTTTTTTGCAACAAGTTTACCATCACTCAAGTGAGAAACATACAAAAAGTTCTTCATAAACTCAAGAACTTCGAAAACATTCAGAATAGATAAATAACAAACATGTGAATATACTGTATTGTACAATCTCATGTAACAATATTACAAAGTCCATAGGACAAATAGAGCATAAGGATATACTTGGATCCATCAAAATATAATTGGAAGCCCAACTATCACCATGCAAGAACAGGAGATAGACAATACAAACTATTCTAGAAGATGTTGGACTTATGGCCTTTCATCGCCTTGTAAAACATGTTATAGCTCTTGACTATAGTGGCAGTGAAAAGAGCGACATGATTCTAGGATCTTGACACACTGGGACCAAGAGTTATGGAAACTTTGGGACAATCATGAGGAGGATCAATGTATATATAAGAGGTACCGAAAGGTTTCAAGGTTGCCTCTGGTCAAGATCCGTTATTGTTATTGTTATTGAGCTTGATTGGGCCTCATGACTAGATGACTGGACATCGATCCCGCTTGGGGATATATATGGTCCAATCATAGTTATCCAGATCTTCCATCTTAAGCGTCGATCCCGATCGTGGATCTCTCTCCGGTACTCCAAGATAAGGTTCTCCATGGGATCACGATATTTTAGGGATTGCACCGAGCCGCTCAAACCATTAACAGAGGCCACATGGATGATTCATTTGGATCTTAACTGCGATACACACTCTCTCATTCATGCTTTGGGTTCAATTCGGTTCCACTTGAAATCATCCTTGAAGTTGAAGTCACATTTTTGGGGTTGAAATTTTCCAGGTAGGTAGGGTCTTTCGGTCCTTCGTCCACTTATTATGTCTATAAAGGAATTAAAACCTCACTTTCAATTAAATGGAATTCCTTTGTGCTGTTAGGTACCAGAAAGTTTTATTTAATGTATAATGGAATAAATGACGATGTCAGAGAAACATTAAGATGTGCTCTCAGACATAAAAAGAGAAAACCCTATTTCAATAAAGAACCTCACTGACAACCCTAGTAGATAGTATGTCAGACAGATTGGCTTCTCTTCACATGCTAGAAAGAGAGGCATCAGTCAGAGCAAGGATCTCAAATCTTATATCATCAAACAACATCATAAAGAGCCAGACTGGAGAACCCTCAATTCCCCCATCTAAAGATGACTCCACCGCTTCCACCTTTTGAAGGCATAAGCATAAACCTATCAATAATGGACTAGCCTTTGCAAAGGAAAAACTACAAAAATCCATCGGACCTGAAAATGATAAGATCTTCCTTCCCTGATTAGCAGCACTCCATTTTTCTAGGTCCAGAGTTACCTGAATTGTTGCATCAGAAGTATGATTCAAGGTCACCCATTGGAGGAGGACGCCACCTCAAGTGTAATATATAACTGTAATGCTAGAGTCTTCCATTGTATGAGAAAAACCACTTTTCAGAATCAATATAATTCCTCCGGCAGGGAAAATGAAAAGCAATCTGACTACAAATACTTCTGTAGTGTACCCCAGCCAGCACCTCAATTCTCTCTCTTCTAAGTATCATGCTAAACCACTCCTTCCAAATATGGGAAAGCATAACCATAATACATATTTCTAACAGTAAGAGGCTCCATCACGAAACATAACTGAACAAAATTAACACTAGGTGTCATGCACATATTGGGCATACCCCATCACTGTAAATGATGAAATATGTAAGTCAAACGAGTAGGATGCAATATGAAATATCTACATAGTTCTCGCTGAGGAAGAAAATGGATAAAACGTTGGCCGACTCAGCCCTCTTCATCCTGGTACATAATGCACATATTGGACATCTGCATACCCCATCAGTTGTAAATGATCTACATGATCTGTAGCAATTAATCAAGCATTAAAATACCCCTATATATGTATTTATGTTTAAATGTATGTATGACATATGAATGTATGTAAAGCATAACAAAGGTATACAACATGTATACATATGTATGCATTGTATGAAGGTAAGTATGGCAAAAGTATCGTGCATGCAATATGTTGTATGAGGATATGCACATGGGCACCACTATACATGCTCAAGGGGTAAACAGTGCATATTAGGAGCCGAACAATTGTAAAAGAGATCATGCTTGAGCTTGAACTGACCGCCCCCTTCACTGCCACATCAAGTTCCGCATCATCGAAAACAATAACAGGCGCATTTCCACCCAACTCCAAGGACACCTGAGAGCAAGTTTATGCATCAAACATTTACATCATAAAGAAAATTTTATCATGATCAAAGAAGATAAAGTCCCAAGTCAACAAGAACTACATGGAAGGAACTAATGTCATGATATGGAAACAGTGATGTCTCTCACAAAATAACTAAACGAGTCCTTTCGTGTACAATAGGACGAATGTAACAAAAAATAATAGCAAGTAGAACACAAAAGAGAACCATTTCTGCCAAAAAATGAACAATTTCTGCCGAAAAATGAACCATTTCTGCTGAAAAATGAATATATTTCCATTCACTAAACCATGAAATTTGATAGCTCTCATGAACAACTGACAAAGAGTGGCAGCTCATATCCCAAGCCAAAGAGAATTTACAACCATAAAGAAACTAAGTAAAATATCAACCCATGTTATATACCACGAAGACCTGTAACACCTACAAATAACTCAATTCACATCACAAAGTACTTCGAGAGACAATAACATGCAACTATCACATTTAAATAATTGAAAAGCATATCCTAAAAAGCCATCACCATACATACAATTTGACTTTTCAAATTATCTTCTCTGAGTTTTTTTCCCTTTATGGTCATACATTCGTAGAAGGGTATTCACACAAATATTATCTTGAAATTATTACTTTGCAGGAGGCATTTTATTATAACGTCATAATCCGATTTCCTTGGCCCATAGCAACAATTGAACACATTGCTAATTTTTTTCCCAAAAAGTCATATGTTAAAAAAGTTCAACAAGAAGTCAGCACCATTTCTTTTAAACAACACACTCCTCAAGTTTTAGGTACAACCAGCATGACCTACCCCAAATTTCATATTCACAAAATGCCAAACTTTGTATCTTTTTCACAACATTAGACATTTTGCTTGAATGAATGAAGTCTTCTCTCTCTCTCTCCCCCTCACACACACACATCAACCTAATTCCTTTTTCTCGGGCTCATATCACTTGAAATTGAATTTTCACAAATCTAAATCTCTCACTCTGGCTATTGCTTAGGGGACATAAATATCCCAGGATCATGCTGGGCCAAGGCTATGAGCACCGACACAAATAGGATCCAAACATGTATATCAAAACCCTGGAACCAAACAGTTTTTGCCAAAGTCCATGATATGGAGTAAGTACTGGTATCATATCCGACATATTGAAAACATAGGAATGTTCACCACATATAAATAGGTTCTTCTTAGAATTAAGACATTGAATGTGTAATTCAAGGGATCAAAAGTACTTTGGTTGCATTTTGGAACAAGAATATCATCGTCGTCATCATCATCATCCAAGCCTTATCCCAACTATTTGGGATCGGAATGTTTCAATAAGAATATTGAACCTTAAAAAAGAAGATAAGTAGGGTTTTAAAGAATGAAATTAGAAAGGCAGAAGAAGGAAAGCCGTAGAGAGAAAAGTTCAGGTTCTAAGAGAAGAGAACAAGAGTTTTGAGATTGGATTGGAGAGAAAAGAAAAAGCATGCAGCGAGAAACTTAGGGTATTAAGAAGGTGAAGATAAAGAGGACATAGAGAATCTAGTGTTAGCACTTACGTGGAGAAAGATGGTTGTCGTTGCTAAGAGAAGGTTGAAGAAGATGGTTGTTGTTTATTGAGAAAAGACTGAAGAAGATGTGGCAAGAAGATCCTTGAAGAGTGTTGAAGATCTATGGTTTTCGAACAATGCTCTGATACCATTTATGAAATGCTTGGCGAGGGCAGGGGAGAGAGAGAGAGATGTGCGTGAAACCCCCCTTCAGTTCTCAAATGGGGGTGCATGCCTCTTTTATGATTATATATGTTCATATTTACATATATGCCCTTGACCAGTGCTTCACAAAACACTGGGCGAAGCTTCAGTGGCCAAGGAGGGACCAAACTGCCCAATGCCTAGGCAGGTGCCTAAGCAGATGCCCAGAACTTGGGCAGCCTAGTAGAAAGAAAAGTAGTTTTAGGGGTCAGGTTTTGTGAAAAAAATTAAAACATATATATTAAGGCATACTTCAATACATAATCCAAGATAGCACATCAATTCATTGTCAAGAAAATGAAAGAAAATAATAAATAACAATGTAACACATAAAAGTTAGGAACATCTATATACCCCTCCAGACTCCAGAAGTCCATATCCAATTATCCATATTCCATAGTCCACACTCCACGCATAGTTAATATTTAAAATTTACAAACCAAAGTTACCAAACCACAATACACAACCAAGAAGAAAACAAAAATGAAAGAAATATAAACTTGAAGACTCTAATCATTACTCATCATCAGAAAAAGCAGGGTCAGCTGCATCTGCATCATATGCATCGGAGTCGAAGCCATCGTCATCAGAATCATCTCCCTCACCAACATAATGATCGTCCTCCTCTGTCTCTTCTGAATCTGCCTGTGCTTTCTCCACCGTCGTCCTCTGGGAAGACGATCTAGTGGGCCCTAAGAGGGTCAGTTGACATCCCTGAGGCCTCCATGACCATATCCCATGTCAATCCTTCATGCCCCTCGACTTCATCATCATCAACCAACCACTCCATAGCATCCATATTTTTTGATCTGAGGGGGTCTCTCTCATCTCTCTTAGCAAACTTCTCCTTCAAGAATTGATTGATTATACTTGACATAGACTACGTCATTGAGCCTCTTTGATTCAAGATTGGTCCTTTTCTTTGTATGAATATAATAAAATCAAATGAAACTAATTAATATAAATAATTAAATACATAATAGTAATACTACAAAGCTACAAATTTACAACTGACATAAGTAAACTAACTAAGACTAAGTAACTAATAACTACTAAAGTATTAAATTTCTAATATAAATTAGTAAATTGTAATTTGTAAACTAATAAAGTAAACTAAATTAACATCTCAAAAGTACTCCAATTCTGCACACAGTCGGATGTGGTAGTGTCATAGTGGTTAAGCTCAAGATCCGATGGCCAACTTTTGTAAATTTGGAGCACTACACCCATGTTGGCTCCACCAATTGGCTGTAAATTGATTTTGAATTACGAATTTACAATTGTTAATCTGCACTTGTAAATTATCAGCTCATCAACACATATAATATCTTGAATATCCGGATAGGAACTAGCACATCTACACACTTAATAAATTCAATCATAATTGTGTCATTTGTGGGTATATCCCTATCAGCATAAAAAACAATAAGGTTCAAAAAGTAACCAGCTGCACGCAATGGCCGAAAAGCTGCCTATCCATTTCTAATTAATAATCTTCAAAACAGGCTCATAGTGGCTCACATTATCACCTAAATTTTAGGCTTTCAGTCTCTTGCATCCCTCCACAGCCTCATATACCTAGCCCATAGAGGGCTTGTCATTATTAATCATATGAAGGACTTTGATAAGAGAAAAACATACCTTAAGAGCACCCTTCAACCCTCACCAAAAAGCCTTAGTAAGGATAATATCTCTCACCTTTTTCCCAACCTGATCCTTGGACCACTTGCATGCTCTCCATTCATTCAAGGTAAACATCGGCCTCAGTTGGACTCTCCTCGAATGTATGTATCTAAGCATAAGTATCAAGTAGCAAATCTTGTGACCCAGGCCTCACAATCTCTTTCTTTTTTGTAAATCTACACATCATGTTGAGGGTGAGGGTGGGGGTGTGGTTATAAATGAAAGTCGTAACTGACTCTGCCTTCTTCATTGCACCTGAAATATAGCTCAAACTGCCAACACGCTCAAACAATAGGTCTATACAATGTGCTGTGCATGGTGTCCAAAAGATTCTAGGATAAGCTATGTGCAATAAATTAGCAGCAGCAACATTAGAAGCAGCATTATTTGTGACAACCTGCATAACATGTTACTCCCCAACATCCTTGATTCCGTTCTCCATCACTAGGAACATGTAGTGGGCATCATGGCTATAATCAGAGGCATCACTAGACCTCAAAAAAACCGTCCCTAGAGAAGTTGGAGATGTCTAGTTTATCTCATCTTAGGTGGATAACCTTGTGAAGCAAGAAACGAGTAGAGGAGAATTTAGAGTCTATGTACCATGCCTTGCTATTGTTTATCAATAAAGTTCTCTAACGTGCCCTTAATCCTTAGTTTTGTTTACGTGTGAAGTTTTCCTTTTGCATGTTGTGGGTCCACAAGTCTGAGAACCAAGAAATAATAAGGATACTATTCTTTTTTTGTCGTGTTCTCTACAACTTTGTGTTTGTATCTTCATCTTTCTCGAGTATTGTTGTGTATGCAATCCTTTCGACATTGAGCGACTCTACAAGTGTTATCAAAAGCCATCCCACCCTCCTTGAAGAGAAAGGGTTTGTTCTCTTTGCTCTTGTACAAGGGATCAGCTTTTGGAAATGAGATTCATCTCTCAATTGGAAGGAAGCCTAGCTCTCCTGTGATTTTTCACAATGGTTGATACTTCCCAAATTTCAAGAGTGGATACTCAATTTAAGGAAACATTTTCATCCCAGTGATTTTGACTTCGGTTGAGAATTTTTGGAATTCAAGGGTTGAGATCCATTAGAATCGAAGCAAACACAACCAACATGGTAGAAAATGGGAGTTTGATGTCAAGACAACAAATTGTGAGGGGGCACCTACAGTTGTACAATTGATATCAAACAATGTGCGTAGGCTGCCAATATGGAAATTCATATCAACAAGCATGCCCTTTAACAAAGCCTTTTCTCGAAGGTCCCACTAGAGACAGTCCAATCCAAAATATGGAAAGTCAATCCATTGGAGGTAACTGCTACTTCCTCATTTTTTTGGATGATAACTCACAATATGCATAGGTATATTTTTGGAGGGCAAAATCCAAAGTGAGTGCGAGCTTCAAGGAGTTATGTGAGAAGGTTAAAGGAGAGATTGGTCAACATATTTGGAGCTCGTAGATCGATAATTACCGGTTGTCCACCGTTGACTCCATTCACGCAATAAGAGTCTACTGAAGAAGACGGTAGCAAGGTATGGGGCCAAGCTGTCGAAGTGGAGG